CCAACTAGGGCAACGAGAGGCTAGGGTCACGGTAGAGTCAAGGTGCAGCTCGTACAATAGCTAGAGAAACACTTGAGATCCACCAGTTGCTCAAGCTTAGGAGCACGTTCCAGATGTGGTTGAGCCGGTAGGGTTAGCTCACGCATCAGTTATACCTTTTGTGATTCTAGACCTTCAGGAGGATTTGGCCAGATATTAACTATTTGCACTAGCCTAGTTCTGGCGGTTTTTGTTCAGGCTGCGCCTGCCATTTCTCAGGCCGGGAAAGGTACTCAAACTCCCACCACTCATACTCCAAAGCAGGTAGTGCAGGGACTTCAGATATTGGGGGTACTACCAGCCCAGTCAGTTGCAGTTGCTCAGGACCAGGTGGGTCCCGTCATGAGTGATGAGGAGCAGTAGAGACCAGAGTGATTTGGGAGGCTCCAACCTCTATCATTCAATGGGTCTGAGTTAGAGGATGCTCAGAACTTCTTTGATAGGTGCCAGCGGATTCTTTGTACGGTAGGTATTGTGGAGAGTAGTGGAGTCTCCTTTACTACTTTTCAGCTGTCAGGGGATGCCTTTAGATGGTGGAGGCCTATGAGAGGAGTAGGACAGCCGGTGCAACACCACTTTCATGGCATGGGTTCTCTATTCTCTTCTTGGAGAAGTTTGTGCCAAAGACTCGCAAGAAGGAGCTGCACAGGCAATTCGAGTAGCTACATTAAGAGGGCATGTCTGTGGCCCAGTATGAAATGAGATTTTCAGAGTTGGCTCGTCATGCAGTTTGGTTGGTCCATTCAGAGGGAGAGGATTATGAGGTTCATTGATGGCCTCACCTATCAGTTGCGTTTTGTTATAACTCTGGAGAGTGTATCAGGTGCTAGGTTTGATGAGGTGGTTAATATTGCTCGGCAGCTAGAGTTGATTTGTAGTCAGGAGCGTGAGGAGAAAGAGTCCAAGAGGCCTCGTGGTTCGGGTGGTTTCAGTGTTTTTTCTTCCAAGGGTCAATTCTACCACAACAGGAGTCGTCCTTATAGGCCCGCTCAGATGGCTCGTCCAATTCATCGTGGTACATCATCTAGCCATGGTTCAATAGTGCTCGATCGAGTCAGTCATCTTTTAGTGCATTCCCAACTTAGAGTTCATCTCGTGCACTTTCAGTTCAGGGTTCATCTACACTAGGTACCTCTGGTAGTTATTCTGGTTCTTGGTGTCCGCCTCAGTACTTGCCACCATTTTTTGAGAGGGTTTGTTTTGAGTGTGGAGAGTTGGGTCATGTAAAGAGGCAGTGTCCCCGCATTTTGGGAGGTCGAGTTCAGTAGAGAAGTTAGGATGCGACTTCAACATTAATTACTTTACCACCCGCTCAGCCAGCTCGGGCAGCTAAGGGCCGCCCTAGAGGGAGAGGCTGATCAGGCGACAGTCAGGCTTGATTCTATGATATTCCTGCCAAGCCAGAGGCTGTTGCTTCAGACATATTGATCACATGTATTATCCTAGTATGCCACATGGATGCTTGTGTATTATTTGACCATGGTTCCACTTATTCGTATGTATCATCATGTTTTGCTCGTTATCTTGATATGCCCCGTGAATCCTTAGTTTCATATGTGCATGTAAATACGTTAGTGGGCGATTCTATTATTGTGGATTATGTATATCGGTCATGTGTAGTGACTATTGGGGGATTGGAGGCTAGAGTTGATCTCTTATTACTTAGTATGGTCGATTTCGACGTGATTTTGGGTATGGATTGGTTGTCTCCATGTCATGCTACTCTGGATTGTCATGCTAAGACCATGACGCTGGCTAGATAGGGGTTGCCAAGGATCGAGTGGAGAGGTTCTCTACATCATGTTCCCAGCAGGGTGATTTCATATTTGAAGGCCCAACGATGGTTGGGAAGGGTGTCTATCATATTTGGCCTTTTTAAGAGATGTTGGTACTGATATCCCTACTATTGATTTTGTTCTAGTGATGTGAGACTTTCCGGATGTGTTTCCTGTAGACCTGCTGAGCATGCCACCCAATAGGGATATTGACTTTGGTAGTGACTTTGTACCAGACACTCAGCCCATTTCTATTCCTCCGTATCATATGGCACCAACTGAGTTGAAAGAATTGAAAGAGCAGCTTCAGGATCTTCTTGATAAGGGGTTTATTAGGCTTAATGTGTCGCCTTGGGGTGCACCGGTTCTGTTTGTGAAGAAGAAGAATGGTACTATATGAATGTGCATCGACTATAGGTAGTTGAACAAAGTTATAATCAAGAACAAGTATCCTTTGCCACATTGATGATCTATTTGACCAGCTTCAGGGAGCGAGGGTGTTCTCTAAAAATTAGTTGAGGTCTGGTATCACCAGTTGAAGATTCGGGACTAGGATATTCTGAAGACAACATTCAAGGCCCGTTATGGTTACTATGAGTTCCTTGTGATATCTTTTGGGCTAACCAATGCCCCAACAACATTCATGCATCTGGTGAATAGTGTATTTTGGCCATATCTTGATTCTTTTGTCATAGTATTCATTGATGATATCCTGGTACTTACGTAGCTAGGAGGAGCATGTCCAGTATTTGAGGATTGTACTACAACGGTTGAGGGAGGAGAAACTTTCTGCCAAGTTCTCCAATTGTGAGCTTTGGGTCAGTTCGATGGCGTTCTTAGGGAACGTGGTGTCCAGTGAGGGTATTGAGGTGGATCCAAAGAATATAGAGACGTTACAGAGTTAGCCAGACCGTCTTCAGCTACTGAGATTCAGAGCTTTCTCGGCTTGACTGGATATTATCGTTGCTTTGTGGAAAGTTTCTCGTCCATTGCAGTGCCTTTGACCAGGTTAACCCAGAAGGGTGCTCCATTCAGGTGGTCGGATGAGTGTAAGGAGAGCTTTCAGAAGCTTAAGACTGTCTTGACCACATCTCCAGTTCTAGTTGTGCCTTTAGCGTCAGAATCTTATACACTGTATTGTGATGCTTCACAGATTGGTATACGGTGTGTCCTGATGCAGGAGGATAGAGTGATTGCTTATGCTTTGCGCCAGTTGAAGCCCCATAAGAAAAACTACCTTGTTCATGATTTAGAGTTGGTAGCCATCGTTCATGCATTGAAGATTTGGAGGCATTATCGCTTTGGTGTGTCTTGTGAGGTATTTACGAATAATCAGAGTCTTCAGCACTTGTTCAAATAGAATGATTTAAATTTGAGGTAGCGGAGATGGTTGGAGCTGCTAAAGGACTATGATATCTCCATTCTGTATCATCCCGGGAAGGCCAATGTAGTGGCCGATTCCTTGAGTAGGAAGGCAGTGAGTATGGGTAGCCTTTCTTTTATTCCTGTCAGTAAGATGCCGCTTGCATCAGATGTTCAGGCTTTGGCCAATCAATTTTTGAGATTAGATGTTTCGGAGCCCAGTCGGGTTCTAGCTTGTGTGGTTTCTCAGTTTTCCTTATATGATCACATCAGAGAGCGCCAGTATGATGATCACCATTTGCTTGTTCTTAAGGACACGGTTCAGTATGGTGATGCTAAGTAGGTTACTATCGGGTATGTTGGGGTGTTGAGGATGCATGGTCGAATCTGTGTACCCAATGTAGATGGGTTGCGTGAGTTCATTCTTGAGGAGGCTCACAGTTCACGGTATTCCACTCATCCGGGTGTCGCGAAGATGTACCAATACTTGAGGCAACATTATTGGTGGAGGAGAATGAAGAAGGATATAGTGGGTTTCGTAGCTTGGTGCCTAAACTGCCAGCAGGTGATCTCTTTGAGATCGTTGCATTCAGACCTGATTGTCTTCTGTCTTCGGCTCCATGTGTTGCTTTCTCATGTGAACATTTAATATAAACATATTTTACCATATACAATGATAATGATTAATAATTTTGTTCCCATATATGTATTCAGAGTTAGTTGGCATTAGTTAATGCATTTCATAATTTTGTTTCTAAATCAGCCATGCAATGGGAGGGCAATGAAAAGCTGAAATTTTTGTGTAATTTTTTTTCTTTTTGAAATGGGTGTGAACAAATAGGGTTATAGTGTTTGTGGGTTTTGTTCTAAAACTTAATATTGATGGTGGTGACAATGGTGCCAATGATAATTTTAATGGCGGAACTTTAATGGAGAAGATGACTAAAAGGGGGGTTGGGGAAGATGAGAGATAGGTTGGGAAGGGGACCTTTTATATTTTCTTTAAATAAGTATTAATTAATTTGTAAATTACGCATTTTTTGTCATGACACGTGTTAGAACCTTATTGGTGCGTGATATCACACATATTTTAAAAAATTGGTCAACAAAAAAGTGGTGTGTCTAAGACACACTTTAAAAAGGTTGAGCGTGTAAAATATTTTCGTCCGCAAAAAGTATGTAACAGGAATTTGATCCATAGTACAGGGTAACTTAACTATTTTGCATGGTTTTTGTCAGTGCGGCTAACCGACTCATCCTAGGACATACAAATACGTTAGCTAGATCAATGCTACTGCCCAGAGATACAGATAGGTTGAGAAGTATATGATCGTTTCAAGTTTAGAGTCTTGCTCCGGTCTTGGGATTTTGTCTCGGATGACGTAACTATTAAGCTGACTTAAATCTCATACGATGAGCTTTCTGAGGTTTGAAATTAGTTAGACATGGCATGCGCTTGTTATTTCAATTATGTTGTAGGTGATTTGATGGAATGTTGACAACTTTGATACTCTTGTTATTATAGGATTTTCATAGTGAAAGGAGGTACGCAAACTAGGTAGAAAAAAGTGACAACAAAGAAGAATCTAACAAAAAAGGGAAATTCTTGAAAAGTAATACACATTGGACAATATCAACATCTAAAACGATATTATCTTAGAGAAGTGACTATAAGATTTAATAGAGACTACGTACAATAGAGTATAGGGTCCGGCCCTTCTTCGGACCCCGCGCATAGTAGGAGCTTAGTGTATCGAGCTGCTCTTTAAGTGAGTTTAAGATTTAATAGTGTTCACAAAAAAAAATCACTGTCAAATGAGCACATAAATAAATTTTCATGACATAAATTCAAAGAGCAATTATAGTGTATGAGTTGCAGTAGATCGTAAAAGAACAAATAGAGATCGTACATTTTGATTTATTAAGCACTGTATATATGTGTAAAAGTTCTTTCATATATAGTATCAAAGTTTGGAGCTTTTCAACTGTGATCTATCTGGAATTTCCAAGTAGCCCCAGCGATCATCGTGGACCACTTCAGAAAACTGCATTACAGTCGCATCTTGTACTTGCTCCAACTTTGATGGTTCCCACTATATATATGTAGAAAATAATTAGAACAGCACTTGACGTATGTTTTTCAAAACAAAGTTATAAACTTTGATAATCTTTTTTTTTTTTTTTTAAATTACATTAGCTCGTTGTTGAAAAGTTAGATAAATATTGAAGATGCTGGACAAAAGGCGCAAATTTATGCTTGGGTTCGCTGAAAGTGCTGATACGTTTTGCGTTCTATATATATGATTAATCGTACCTTAAACTTTTTGCCTTTGTCAAAAAAGATTGCTTTACCACCCTACAAGTTCAATCAAATCAGAAAGTGAAGATCAAATTAAAGAGGTAAAATTTATATGATGTGAAGATTGCAGCATATATACCTCGTAGAAATCGTTGTAATTGAATGATCTTAGTACGATGCGACTACTAATATTAAATTCGCGAGACAAACACTGTCGAAGTGATTGCTTCCGTCCTTCTCTAATCTGTAAAACACTAATGTGTTAACTTTTATAAAAGAAGCAACAGATGATCAATTCAATAGTCGGCAGTTAATATTACAGATCGTAGTGAAATCTTAAGGCTTGTTGGTGAGGCAAACTTCATAGACTTTATTGCATTAGTGATCCACTTGTCATCCATTCCAGTTGCTTCTTTTTCCTACCAAAAGCAAGAGGTTAGAAGTAAATAAATATGTTTAGTTCACTCATATATAATAATTAGGAGATATATATATAAGAGAAAGATTTCATGAATAACTTACCAGTGCAGATAGTATATCTTCAACTGTGTCCTTGCCAAAGCAATGATTGATAACTTCAAGTCTATTTTGGTGATTGCATACAAGGAACAAATTAAATTAAGATAAGCCATTAGTAGGATGAAAGTACGTAGATTAAGAAAAAAATTATTGGAAACTGCTTCTTGCAATATACTAAGTTACATTGCATTCCATTCCTTTGGAAAATGACACAGTTTTTGTCTAATATTTGAAATCAGACATATCCATTTCTTCCTGAGCTAACCAACAAATAAAAATGTGCTAAAGTCATACATATAGCTAGAAAATATATCAATAGAAATAAATATTAGAAGAAAATAGCATTACCTTTTCAAACTACTTCCTTCTTTCAACTCTGGATTACGAGCGAACTCTTTTATGATTCTTGAAACGTCCAACTCATGAGCAAACTCTAATGATTTGTTTGATGAGAATGCTTGACATAATGCATCTTCCATTGACTCTATATCCTACAATTAAAAGATTCAGTTGTGCTTTTAGAATATATGACCAATTAACGTGAAGTAATCAGCTGATCCAAAGAGTTGCTAAATGTTTTGCAGGAATGTTGGTGTACAAATACAACTACACGTAATGGACTGTTTTAATTATGTTTGATTTGATATATGCTATATTTCATGATTCTCATGATACATATTTGTATTAAGGCTAATCTATGCAAAGATTTAATCCGTAAATACTAGTTAAGAGACTTATGCGTTTCTCCTTGCGGAAGTGAATCATCTAGCAATCATCGAATTACTGGTCGTTGGGAATTCTCGCAGGACGGATAAATCCACAGCCTAAAAATCCCTTTGATGAATATAGAAAAAGTCTTCTTTTTCAACACCCATAGTGATGCTTATATAAGCTAGTACTATAATTTTAGGAAAAAGACTAGCTAATGAGTTAACGGTCTAATTAACATTCTCTAAGAGTGGACCGACCCAATAGTAATTTTCCAACACTGTGATACCAGTATTATATGATTTGACTATGCATATAAGATGATATAGGTTAATCCGTGTGACTGGTTATGTGTTCTCCATACACTTGAAAATTGTATTGAAAACTAATTTTTTGGTTGATAATGGTAAAGTATTTATGAATGATTAGTACCAAGAGGGTACTTTACAAAAGACAATGTCAAGTTCACTGCATTAAATACAACATCATAGACTCCAAAGCCTTCCCGGAAATAAAGACTAAAAAATAGATTTTCCAATGGCTGCTTACTACACTAAAAATATTGTGTTCGAAAATTGTTCAGCTGAGCACATATTATGTTTTGATTATTAAGAAACAAAATTGATTGTGTTGTAGAGAACCAGGTTTCATGTTCCAGGTTGGTGTGCTACTAGACTGGTATCTGCAGACATGAAATACGAATGCCAAGATGTAATGACCTAGCTGGTTGTTTCGTGTATTTTAGCCCTGTTACCTTCCCTATGTGTATTTGTTGTTATGTGACTTCTGGGGATGGTTAGTTTAGTTTCGGAAAGGCTTTGGAGTGAATTGGAACACTTAGTTCCATAGTTAGAAGCTTAAGTTGTAAGAGTTGACTAAGGTTTGACATTTGTGTAAATGATCTCGGATTCGTATTTTGATGGTTCCAATAGGTTTGTATGGTAATTTTGGACTTAGGCATATGTCCGGAATTGGATTTGGAGATTCCTGGGTTGATTTGGCCCTAAATGTTGAAAGCTGAAAATTTAAAAATTTGGAAGGTTCACAGGTTTGATTGTGGGTTGACTTTGGTGTTAACAGATTCAGATTTTGGTTCGGAAGTTGTAATAGGTTCCTTTTGTCATTTGGAATTTTTGTGAAAAAATTAGGTTCATCCTGGATTGCTTAGTCTTGAATCGGACACTTGGTTTGAAGTTTGAATATTTGTTTAAACTTAGGAGACATTCTATTTGTGTTTTGGCATTTGATTCATTGTTGTGGTGTTACCCTATGTGTTAGGAGGCTTTGGATAGGTTGGAGTAGCGTTTATGAACTTTTTGGTGTGACTGGACGGGGTCCTAGGGAGCTCGGGTGGGCTTCGGGCCACCCGGAGCATTTTGGACAATTACAGATTTTGCTAGTGTTATATCTTCATCGCGATCGCGGGGTTGGGTCAATTGTGAGCTGGGCAGTTTTCTTTCATCGGGTTTGTGTATTCGTGGATCAGCTAGGAGCTGGGGGTCTATTGTCTATGCGTTTGCGATAACATGTTAGCGTAGGGTCAGGTTGGTTCTTCATCGCATTCGCAAGGTGGTGTCTGCGAACGCGAAGGTATATTTTGAGGCAGTCTTTTTTGCGAGAGCACGTGCCGCGTTCATGAAGGGCACACCTGGCCAGACCTTTTCATGGGAGCCTAAGTTCAAGGTTAGACATATACCACAAGAGACACTAAAGCGTTTCTTTCAAACTTCTTAAAGCTAAAGCCACTACCTTTATTAGACCTAGTACCATAGAGGACTCACAACAGTCATCTGATTGAGTAGTAGAGGACATTGGAGCTCTCACTCCTCTGAGCACATGATCCTGGTCGCATCCATAGGAGAAAAGAAGGAAAAAATTTGAATCTTTTTTTTTTTAAAAAAGAATGAGAATTTTGGAAGCAGCAAAGCTGGGTTAGGTTGAAGGATGTAGCTCATATCTGGTATAACAATTTATTGTTAGGAATGCTTATTGGTGCATCCCTGATGACATGGAGTATACCAAGGCTTTCATGGAGTAGTTCTTCCTAATTGCTTTAGAGACGAGTTGACTCGAGCATTCTAGAGATAATACATATGAAAAATATGATCATGGATAAATATGATGTTTAAATATACTTAGGGCTATGCCCCTTACTTGGTTCATGATGAGAGCATGAGGAATAAGAGGCTCGTTGAGGGTTGAGAGATCCATTATTTAGGGTCTTAGAACATTTGATGTGCACTATGACTTACATTTGAGGCTAGACACTGCTAGGAGGATTGAGGTGAGAAGATAGGAGAGAAGCGTACCTCTCGAGAGGATAGCAAAAAGATAAAGATAATAGGATATACCATTTAGTTGAGGCACTAGTTCTGGCTAGGCATCTAGATCATATGAGAAGCAAAAAGGCTTTATGAGTTCATCAGTGTTATTTAAGCAACCATCAGCTAGGTTCTTAACTTAAATAGGACTATAGAGGTTATGTATAGTCTGAGTCATCAGAATGTAGATAGTCTATCCTCGCAGTTGATGTTTGATTATAATTCTAAATTGTATGGTATTACTTGCCTTATATTTTGATGTAACAATAATAATTTGTGGGACATTTGAGCTTAATTAAGTTACTTTCATGGGTAGGAATACTTGGACATAAAGTGGAGAGAAGTTGCAAAAAGTGGTACAAAAAATGATAGAGTAGATCACGAAAGGAACAAGGCCACGAGACAGCCATTCCTTAGCACCATAGATAGCATGAGGCGATGCCAAACACGGAGAAGATGTCGTGCCTACAGTGTGAGGCACCCTTATATAAAGTCAGTTTAAGGCGCGAAGCGCCATCGACCCTGTTCGAGCTGGTTTCTTCTCTTTTTCAGTTTTGGACTTGGCTAATTCAGCCTAGGCTTTATCCTACCCTATAAATACTCTCTAAACTCGTTTTTACGGGATTGGATATATTTCAGAGGCAACAAAGGCTATGGAACACGTGTTGTAATGACCCGACTAGTTGTTTTGAGTATTTGCACTTCGCTCGGTATTTTGAGGGCTCGAGTATCTTCGCATGATATATTATGAGTTACATAAATCGACGGTGTTTGTTTTCAAGTTATCTGGAATCGATTTGGAAGAATGAACTTCAAGATTTAAGCTTTAAGTTGGAAAAGTTGACCAAGTTTGACTTCTTAGCATTTGACCTCGGAATGGAGTTTTGTCAATTCTGTTAGCTTCGTGGGTGATTTTGGACTTAGGAACGCGTTCGGATTTTGATTTGTAGGTCCGCAGTTGAGTTAGTCATGAAATGGCGAAAGTAAGATTTTTGGGAAGTTTGACCAGCAGTGGACTTTTTTATATCGGGTTCGGATTCTAATTCTGAAAGTTAGAATAGGTCCGTAATATCAAATGTGACTTGTATGTAAAATTTGAGGTCAATCGGAGGTGATTTGATATATTTCGACATCGGTTGTAGAAGTTGAAGTTTTAAAGTTTATTGATTTTGACTTGAGTTGTGATTCATCGTTTCGAGGTTGTTATTCGTAATTTGAAGCTTCAAGTAGGTTTATTTTGTCATATGGAACTTTTCTGCAAAATTTGGCGTCATTCGGAGTTGATTTGATATGGTTCGGATGCTTGGTTGCAATATCTATAAGTTCTTGAAGGTCATGATGATTTGTATGTGTTTTGGCATCTGATTTGTGGTTTTAGTTGTTATTTTGGTTTTCTGATCGTGCGAGCGAGTTCGTGTTATATTTCTAGACTTGTGTGGATGTTTGGTGTGGAGTCCCGAGGGCCCAGATGAGTTTCGTACGCGTTTCAGAGTGTTGGAAGAAGGTTCAGCTGTGTTGGTGTCTCTGCTCTCACATTTGCGAGATATTTCTTGCTTTTGCAAAGATGGGCTAGGGCAGGGGAGTTCTCAATTGCAAACAACATCATCGCATTTGCGATAGCAGCTTCGCATTTGCAACGCCAACTGTCGCTTTTGTAAAAGACTCTGAGCTCGCATTTGCGAGTCTTCTGTCGCATTTGCAACTTGAGAAGGGTTGGTCAGCCATCGCTTTTGCGATACTTTTGTCGCATTTGCGAGCATCGCATTTACGATCATGATGTCACAAATGCGACGTCTGAGGCTGCTATTAAGATTTTCATTTCCGGACTTAGCTTCATTTTATCATATTTTGAACCCTAGGTCCGAGAAGAGGAGATTTTATGAAAGGATTTTCATACCAAATCATTGGGTAAGTACCTTTAATCATTTCCCAACTACATTTCATGATTATATATAAGATTTAACATCAAATTCATGAGAATCTAAAGGAAAATTTGGGGAAAATTGTAAAATCTTTCAAAAATTTAAATTGATGATTTGAAGGACGAATTGGTACCAGCTTTGTAAAATTTTCAAAATTTTTTTCCCAAAACGTGTATTTATTGTAAAATCTTTCAAACAGAACGTGTATTTATTCGTACCAGCTTTGTAAATTCCAAGTCTTAGAAGCTCATGAGTTGTACTATTAGATCCTGGGTAAATTTTTAAATGTTCAGTTATCTATTCTCTATTTTCTTATAATCTCTATTGAGATGTATTATCTGTTAGTTGACTTACCTAACGGGTTGAGTTAGGTGCCATCACGACCAGTGATTTTTGGGTCGTGACAAGGTTGTATCAGACCACTAGGTTCGTAGGTTCTACGAGTCATGAGCACGTGTCTAGTAGAGTTCTGCGGATCGGTATGATGGCTTCTATACCTATCTTCGGGAGGCTACAGAGCATCTAGGAAAATTTCTTCTTCTTCTTTCCTTATCGTGC